AAACACCAGCCTTAAATCTGATTCTTTGACTAATCAAAACACCTAACTGTCCATTTTAACCTGTTATAATGTGGATCAATAACAACTTATAGATCATATTAGTTACACCTATAAGTTATATTTGGCTACCAATAAATTATAAGATCTAACTTCCAACAGACAAGTGAGGGAAAAATGTGTTTTGGATACATTTTGGATTTTTGTGGTGCTGGAAGAGTTACAGCGCTTGGCAAAAGAAAATAAAGGTTCGGTTGATTTATGGTGTAAAATTGAAGTTTTTCATTTAGATTTTTGTCAAAAAAAACTGAGTTAAATGAGTTAAAAAGGTACTTATCAGCAGTAGAGCTCATAAGAAGTCAGATAAAGCCGTATTTTATTCACACTTTAAATTATATAGCTTGACAGCAGCTCATTGGAAAAGAAGGAGAATGACATTCATTGCCTTTAATCACCATTATTAATATTATGTAATAATGGTGATTCATAATATAATACATTATATTATTATTATGCAATTACTTTTTTCAGTATTGTCAGGAATGTTAATATTTCAAGACCATTTCAAAAAAATTGCAAGCAATAGCATGCCGTAATGTTTAGGATATAAAGGGACTAACAGGGTGACGATTATAACAACACATCATCTTCGAATAACAAATAATGTCTTCAACGCAGGAAATGGAACAGCTCAACTCTTACAGTTACAAATTCAACTCCGTCTCGTCGATCTAATGAACGTCACATTCATTAAAGACTAATCTGCGCTATGGATTATGCAAAGAGCTACAACATGATGAACTCTGAGAGGCTGAGTTATGAGACAGAAAGAGGCCATAGTCGTTCATCAGGTTTTCAAAGGCCTCTTCAGAAAAGGTCCAACAGACTAATGGGCCCAGATTAACCCTTTAACCAGTCAGACAGGCGCTCGTGTGGAGCAGGCAGCCCCCTGCTGTTCTCCAGACCTTTTTTTTTGTCTTATAACCTTTTCAGTTTGAAATCTAGGTGCCGGCAGTGATCGGTAGTCTTTTCTGAGGCAATCTGGAACTCAGCAGGCGCTCACTCCACTCTTACACCTGTATCCCCCCTGGATCTGCTTACCAGCAGCTTCTTCAGCCCACAGGAGACTAATTAGAAACGTGGCAAACTAAACCGCTAATTGGGGGGGGGTTATGGGATATGGCCCATTGATTTTAACCAATGGGCCATGAATGCAGCTCTAAAAGAATCATGATGTTGTTGTGGTTTGCCATATTGTTCCAGACCTTATGTTTCAGTTACATAAATTACATGCAGGTTTTTCCTAAGTTCCCTGCAGTTCCTCTACTGACCACTTGAGGCTGCACCCTAAAGTGAGTCCCTGTGTTAAAATGACACCTTTACAGGAAAACAAACATGTTTACAGACCGGTATGAAATCTAGTCTCTGGATAGTTCACCCGTCCATGTGTCCATGAGGCCAATTCAATTATTATTACTCTGCTACTAATTATTGGGCATTTTTCTGGTGCATGATCAGCTTGGAAAGCTTTTTTTTGCACTCTTTTTACCCCAAAGGAGGACACCTTTGGCGCAAAAACAAGCAAAAAACAAACAAACAACAAACCCCCAACATCCTGGCAGCCAAAATGCAGGCTTCAGAAAAGTCAGAGTCAATGTCGCTATGGCTACATCCATCCATCTTTCTCCTTTTCAGACAAATGTATCCACGGCGTTTGCCCAATTTGCGTTCACAAGGCACGCCTAAATCCTGTTTGTCTGCAGGAGAAAAGGATAGAGCTAACAAACAGATGATCTGCATACCGAGCAGAAAGAGCTGGATAAACCGATTACACAGATAGTTCTCCGGCATGGTCGGGTACTTTAATAAGCTGGCTAAAGTTCATTCTGCACAAACATCTGCAGTTAACAACATTATGTTAGTACAGCAGGTACAATCATCTCAGCTCTGTTTCAAGACAATTACCCAACATGCTTTTTTAAAATCCCATTTTTGCCCAGCAGAGCTGCATGAATGGATTAACACGTTAAAGAGAAAACTCATCTCATGAACTCTCACAGGGTAACTTTGGGTATTTTTAGTGTGTGCTGTGCTCTTATTTTATGCCCGCTGCTTCACTGTTCCCTCCAGCCATCCTAGGCTTAGTACTTCAGGCCTTTGAAAGCAAAGTGCCAGCAGAAGAGTGTTAGAGGAAAATGACCTTTACAGATTTGTAATCAGTAGGAATTCCTGCCACGATTAAAAACAGATAAACGTCTCCCATCACTACTTTGTGTCAAAGAAGTGAAATATATATTTTATAATTTTTAATCCCAGAAAATCCAATAAAAAAGAAAAATAGCTGTGTGTAATGGTGACTGAAGTTCCCACATATGTGGCCCAGTTAGAGTCTGGCACCTGCCCACAACACACTTTCCTTCTGTTCTGACGCCAGATCTGCACCAGTACACTTTGCTTTGATTTTTATCTAGTGCGAGCGGGCGAAAGCAGCTCGCCTCTCTTTGCTGGCTTCCAGTTTACGGATTCATTTTTATTTTCCATTTTATCTGTCTGAAATGCTACACGCACGTATCCTGTTTCAGATGCTTTTATCTCTTACTCGGTTTGACTGTACAGCACTTTGGTCGGTTTGTTGTTGTAGGTTAAAAATGCTTTATAAATGATAGTGATGGAAGAACAACATAATCTGAACCACCACAACCACACAAAGGATGTTCAGTTCGACTTGATCTCTCACCCCTGTTGCTTTAGAAAGGTCGACTGTGACAGTGAAGTTTTCTTTCTCCATCTTCGGCTCATGGGGGCGGGGCTTACGAGGTGTAGTCACCGCAATGCCCTCCTGCTCTGCTTTCTTCTTATCTTCCTCTATTTCCTGTTAAAAATAAATAAATAGAGGAGCCCAGTGAGACTAATGCTTAATAAACGCACCAAAGACAAACAGGTCTGGGGTGTGTTCTGTGTTCATACGACAAAAGTAAGAAGATTAAGTCAAGTAGCCATCCGTGTGCAGCTGATGGACACTTTTCTCCCACAATGCAATGCACAAAGGGAATAGGACAGCTGCTAATATCGGGAAAACCAAAAACTGTTTGTTTATGGGAAAAGAGCATCTATTTTCCAATTAAAAAGAAAATTCTTTTAATCGAACTGATGATATTGTGTTTCATCCTTCAGACACTTTTTTTTTTTAAATTTCTCAGTCTGTACATGTGAAGCTCAAGAGAAGCTGTGGTTGTATCTTATCTGAGACCTGAAAAGAAAAATATGGTTTTCTAAACGTTTCTCATCATATTTCAGTGGCTACAAATCGAATGAAATATGATGATGACAACTATTTAACTTATTAAACAGCTCCCAGATCTTTTGATGAGACCATGTTGTTTATTCAGCTTCATGAAGTGAAGAATTCCTTAAAAAATAGAAACGAGTAGCAGTAAATCCTGAAAAATCACCTCAACATCCCTACAAATAAGATCAAAACGCAATGAGTTCAAATTCAACTTGAAAGTGTTGGATGCTTGCCGTGAATAAATAAATTCAGAAGAGACAAATGGTTTAAAACGATTTTTAAAACAAACAAAAACAGTTATTCAGGGTTTCCTGATTCAAAACAGGGCTTTTGGGGGCGCACACAGCATGAGTGGCTCCACTGAATGTTTATAAAGGCCACTTAAGATTTTAAGGCATTTCAAGCTTGAGTTCATTAAAGCAAACTTGTAAAAAAAAGAAGTTGTTGAAATATTTTTTAACCACAGTCCTAAATTGTCTTGGCTTTTGTCTCAAGTATGCAGTATAATCTTTGACTAATGTGGTAAAACAAGCTGCTTTTATGTAGAAGTGAATCGTTGTGTTTTGAGACATTCTGGGGACGTCATCATTCTTCGGTGATGACAGTTATCAACATCAGGATTCTAGTATTAAAGATACATTTAGTGTGTAAAATCTTTCCATACCTGGTACCTCTTCATCAGAGCTTCATTCTTCTTCCTCAGAGCTTCAATTCGCTTGTCCAGCTCTGCATCCTTCTCCTCCTTTGTCTTGAGATCCACCGTTGAAGACTGAAGCAAAGAGGAGGAAAGCAGAAGTGACAAGACCGGTTTGGCCTGTATTACTTTAATGTGCAGCGCTAAACTAAGCACAATGAAGATACATCAGCTGTCCCAGCTTAATTAAATAATTGTTTTGCTTTTATTAAAGAGGAGAAAGAAATAAGACACCCATATACAAATATTAAATGAGAGAGAAAGAGCGATAGAGATTGCGCTCAAATAATGCAAAACTGAAATCAATGAGAATATAGATGGCAGTAGAAGCAGCAGAACATACTTTTATACACTTGTCTCGTCTTTGTACTTCTGTCTCATGTTACCACTTTATTATTCAACTTTATGTTTTTAATGCTCATGAATGGTTTCTGTCGTAACGATAAACGATAGTTTAAAGGTAAGGGAAACATTTAGTGACTTCTCCGGGAGGCGGGAGCTGCAAATATGAACGCCCTCTGTCCAAGTTTAACTACAGACAGAAGGCAACAACTTTGCGTACTTTTTGGATGAATTTAATTTAAATATAGGATGTTAGGAACCAAGAACAGCCTTAAAAATAACAGCAATTGATATGACTCTTCAAAATACGAGCCTGAAACCGTTACCAGGATGGCTGCGAGATGATTAGGCTTCCTTCTAGACAGACTTTGGTCCTCCTGAAAGTTTTGGGTAACCTACACAGAAGATCAAGACACTGTCTGCAGTGTTTTTACTCACCATAGCTGCCTTCGACTCTTCTTCATGCACTGGTGGCTGGCTGCTTGTTCCACCTGTAAAGAAGATTAAGAGGATGAGGAGCATCCTACCGTTTCTTTACCTCCAGATACTACACCTTCAGTAAGGTGAGTTTCTTTGCGTTAACCCGTGAGCACAGGAACAAGAAGGATGAATAGAAACTCTAGATTATACAGTAACAAATTGAGCGGTGACTGGGTACCGTCCTCTTTTCCCTTCTGCTGTTTCACCCTTCCTCACTATTGATTACACTATTGAAGGTAATCACAGGTGAGTTTACAGCCAGGTGTGCGATGAAACCCATTTCAAAAGCTTCTGTAAAAGTCTCAGAGCTGCAGACAAGACGTATATATGACACCCGAGGAACAGTACCACATCACACATACCTGAGGCTATTTGAGCACATCCAGCCTCACCTGAGCTGCAATAAAGTACTGCTTTGGTGTTTTTGTCTGTCCCTGGTCTGCTGTTCAGTAATGTAAGCACACTGAGCCATGTCTGAGCTGTCTGAGCCGATACAAAGCCGCGAGGAGCCCACGAGACGTGGAAACAGACCACCGCAAACAGAGACGACGTGCAGACGAACACCTGGATGAACGTTTACGCGCACTAAAGTTACAGTCCGTTCACGTTACCTGTTTCAGAGGGAACTGTTGCAACGGCTGTAAGGGTCAATGTTTGAACTCGCTGCTGTTCGCCAATTCCTGCGCCTCAATCCGTCCTCATTATTCCACTTCCTGTTAGCAGCGGCTAACTTCCTGCCAAATAAATCCCGCCTCCCGGTTCTTAAAGAGACACTACACTTTCTGACGGCTCAAAACGATCCCAGCAGATTTTCGCTGGAAAAGTCTGCCTCTGCACACCACCACAGTGGATTTTAAATCAAACCATCAGGATGTGACTGAAGTACAGACTTCCAGCTTTAGCTTAGCGGGCTTTACAAAAAAAAATGTCTGGGAATAAGACATTTTTTTATACAGAGCCCCCAACTTTAGAGGCTTAAAGATAATTGGACAATTGACTGAAAATTAATTTGTGACACCTGTCCATTTATTATTTCATGAGAAATTAAGCACACCTAATATTCTGAAGTTCAGCTTGTATTTTATGGCTTTTCGCTGCATTTTTAAATGTGAGAGAAGAAGTGATGGCAGTGTAAGCGAGGAAGGCTGCCATTAAGGTAAAACAAACAAACAACAACAACAACAACAATAACATAAATAAAAACCCTCAGCATAGAGAGAGAGAGCAAAAACTGTAGGAGTGGCCAAATCAGCAATCAGATATTTATAAAAATGAATAAAAGGTCTAAAAGACTACAGAAGACTGAAAAAGTGCATGATCACAGATTTATTTTCATGATTAAGGAAAACAATTTGACAACATCTAACCAAGCTGAGAACACTCTCAGGGAGGCAGATGGGAAGACAAAAGTATGGAGAAGGAGAGAAACATGGTCCGAAGCAGGCCACATTATCTTTCAAACATGGGGCCAATCGAACAGCATGGGGGACATTATTGAGCTTCCGAAAATGAAGAATTATATTTAAAAATGACTGTAAGTCCCACATAATCCACTGTGGTGGTGGTCTTCAGAACCAAAAGTACAATATTTATGTTGTATTGGTTCAGAACGAACAATTAGATCCATAATCTAATTGTTCGTTCTGAACCAGGCATATCAGGAATCTGCAACCTTTAGTATCTATTATATTATAGACAATAAATAAATAAATAAATAAATGGACCCATCAAAGATTTTTGAGCCATATATTAAAGTGAATAGTCTGCTAAGCATAACTATTAATCTTACTAATATGTGTAAATAATTACTCATTATAATTACTCATCACATATGACTACTGTGTGCAATAATGAATCAATCTTCTGTTATATCAAACCTGACTCGACCATCAGTTTAGTTTTTCCAATAATAATCTTAAAATATATTCTCTGTTGTTGATCCATACTCCAAAGTACAATATATATCTATATATCTATATATCTATATATCTATATATATATATATATATATATATATAAAATTCCTTCTTAAATTGTGGCAAATGTAATTCATAAACCGGCCATGAGATGGCACCAGCAGCCAGCCAGCTAACATGACCTGATAAACCAGCGGTAAACTGACCTGAACACACAAAAATTTGTCATTAAACCTTGAACCTGAGGAGATCTATCCATGGAAAATAACCGAGAACAAAGTGCACTGCCTACTTCAAGCATAAAGGTGACTGCTCTTTCCTTACAGCTGTACAGAAAAGATTACACATTTACTCTTTTTCTACTTACTAATTATTTTTCACAGATTCAGATTTCTCTTAAATATAATTAGATGAAATAGATAAGATCGACTTTATTTTTCCGCGTTACAGAAAAATCAGATAGCTATATCAAACAAAACTACTGTTTTGAAAATGAAAAATAAAGTAAAAGAAATGAGCTAAAAGAAATACAATAAACACATTTTAGATGCAGTTTTAAATATAAAAACACAAGTGTATGGTCACTCTAATCATCTCAAAATACCACTTAGAGAATAGAATTACATCACGTGAAACAAAAAGGATACAAGATTTATATTTTACACTTTTATTTTTAAACATCTGGTAAATGTTTCAACCCAGTGTCACACATTCACAACAGTTATCAGCACGAATATGTCAGACAGCAAGCACATTAAATTAATGACACCCTTTATCGGACTTAAATTTGTTTTACAGGTCCTGATAAAGGTGTAGCTCTTAAAGGGACAGTACACCCCAAAATCAAGTTGACTTCCTCTTCCTCTCTCCCACAGCTCTATTTAAACATATAGTTTTATTTTGGGACGCGTTGCCCACATTTGGAAATATCAGCTGTAGAAAAGGGCCAGCTTTTCTCTTGAATATAATCGAATGAAATCATCTCGTGGTCTTCAAAGTGCCAAAAAAATATCTTGAAGAAAAAATAACTCAACAGCCACTTCTTATTCATGAAGCCGTGACTGCAAGGCTACTTTAAAACAGCTTTTTGTAAAAACAGTTTTCTTTATAATGAACAACACTCAGCAAAAGAACCTGTCCATGGACCTGTGATGAGGGTGTAAACATTAATACCATCCACCCTCAGCGGAGCTGCAAGTGTATGTGGAGTCTCGGGGAAATGTTTTTTTCACTTCCTGTAATTCTGACTTTGCCCTTTAATGATTTTATGTGTTGATACCAACTACAAGAACCTATTTACCAAAACTATTAATAATGTTTAAACAGGAATACACTCTTTTCTGTAGACAACCCCTACAGAAGCTCTTCCTCTCACCCGTGGGGAATATGAAGGAGAATGAAAGAGTTAACCCTTTGATGAGCTGATGTCAGGACCCTGATGTTGGCTACCTGCACCCTTGTTTTGGTTGGTGGATGGAGAGAGTAGACAGAAACTAGTTCCTCCATAAAGCTTCCCAAAACAAGCTTTGTGGATTTATTTATCTATTTACTTTTTGTAGTTACATAATTTCTTAAAGAGACACTCCTGCAGTTTTTCAAATTAAATTTTCTGATGCAAAAATCCAGAGGATCTGAATTTGGGGTTAACTGTCCTTTCTAATGTTGTAAATTTTGTTGAGCTTTTAAAGCAGGACTTTCAATGTAGTTGCTGTAACATGCAACTGGATATAATACACAAGGTAATGGGATCAACCAGCTTTACAGTGACTAAGCACATTCAGAGATCCCCAGCCTGGATGACGTACTGTTTTGTGTCTCGTTAGCCTGGGCAGAATAACGCAGGTGAGATAAGGAGTTGGTTACGTTTAATGTTTCCCCAGGAGACCACATGCATGTTTATGTACTTTATTTTCCAAGGATTTTGAAAAAAGATCATTTAATATGAGCAGTACACGTTTAACGCATGTGCCGTCTCACACGCTCTGTCTAGCGAACACAAATATGACAGAGTATCCTGCCGTGGCCCAGTTTCAGCGCATGCAGTCAAAACAAACAGCTCCTCTGTTGTTAGGCAGAAGGCTGAGTGAGTAATGACCACACAGGATTTGTTAATCACCTGATAAGATCTTGCAACCAGACCAAGTGTATCTAGCCATCCCTGGAACACATACAGATGAGACCTGCTGCCAAACTAAGAGACAGGTGGAGGGAAACACCAGACAAGCAGCATCAGTTACACAATAAGAGCCCCAGAAGAATCAGTGGTCTTAGTGGACTGTAAGATGAGATATTATGAGAGAGAGAGAGAGCAGTCAAAGAAGTCTGCCTCAACAAAACCTTCCAACAAAACTAAAGTCACAAAAGATTTTAAGCTGCTTTTATTATATATCATTTCTGACACTGCACAGTTTTTATGACCCAGTGCCCACGGAGTTCATTTAGATAGTACTTCACATTAGGTACATAAATAAGTGCTCAGAGGAGCAGAGACTGTAACACAACATCAGGTTATATAATCATGGTTATGATGGAACATAATGTGCTGTGACAAACCTGTGATAGAGCTCAATGTGATGTGGTGTAATCACTTTTTATGTAACATGATGTCACATGACAGCACATACAGTATGGAAATATGTCATTTGACAGGTGACATAATCTAATCTGGAGGCTACTTTACGATAAAATCATTAAACCTGTTTACAAATTGGTTAATAATTGTTTTGTAAAACATTTATGAGCGTTGTGATTATCTGAAAGTTGCGACAGAAACAGAAAACAGCTGATGATCTGGAAACGTTTCGGATCGCTTCTGTAAAATTGTATCTGATTGTTTTAAAAAGGTATAAACAGGCGGTCGAGTGGTGGCGGCGCGAATTATAAGACCGGGAACTCTTTAGTTTTTGTTGCTCTGGATTTTTACTGTATTTTACCAGCTCTTTGGCTCGCTTTAGTCACCAGAAATACTTGGTTGAGGTTTGGGAAAAGACTATGGTTAAAGTTGGAAGTTTAAGTTAGAAGTGTTCCAAAACATACGTCACAGCTTGAGCAGTAAAGGGAATTGTGCTGCACTGTTTCATGCCAAAGCTGTTAAAAGGTCCAAAGCTGGCACACTGGATGGCTATTTAAAGGCTGAACACATGCAGAGAAGGAGAGCACCATTTCTGGTGTTTGTGCTGTGTTTTGCTCCATGAAACATTGTGCTGCAAGTCATCAGATCATCAGAAGAGTTTTGTCCAAATCTCTCATTTTGTCTGGTCCAGGTGACTGACAGCAATTTTTCTATGGCCTGCCATAACACCATACTGATGCTTGTCTTTGATTCATGCCACTAATGCTTCCTTGTACCTTCAGCAAACTGACTAAATGTTAAAAAACGGGGAAATATTGCAGAAATTTAAATTTTAAAGCTATTTCAACTTGTTGTTTAACATCTGTTTAATGAATATACTGCTCATTAGATGTGAACATTTTCAAAATATACTTCTTCTTTACATTAAACAGAAGTGGAAAAGGTGGAGGTGTTTTTTCCAGGTTGTTATGCAATTATGAATTATAGGTTATTGTGCAATGGTTTTGCTGGTCCTGCTCACCTGACACCAAGTCGGGTTGTATGCTTCACAACACTGAGGCCCCGAAACCGAGGACAGGCTTGCTGGTGTTATTACAAAACAAGAATAGCTAAGCTATAACTCAGTATAGAAAGTGTTATGTCTGCTGATGTCAGGACAATTATTTTATTATTGCAACTAATATGAGTTTAAACGTTAATAGCTCAGATCAACATTTATCAGCTGTTTGTATT